TTTAATATCTCTGAAATTGAGGATGCATCTTAATGATGGTATCTTGAGGTTAATTGCCAGTGTTCTGTCACATAAATTCATGACATATCTTAGAATAGATAGTGCCTTAGATTAGCTGAAATATGGTTGCTTTGGGCATAGGTTTTTAAAGAACACTGCTGGGGTCACTCAGTATGTGATCTTGCACAAGGTGCATACTTAACCTTCCCGTGTGATGGTTTTTCACCTGAAAAACAATCATACTAATCATCTTTAATTCATGGGGTCTTTGCAAGGATTTGATGATTTAGCATGTTGGAAAGCATTTAGAACACAGCCTGGCACATCATAAATGATGCATATTTATTAGCTATTGTTGTTTGTGCTCCCAGAGACTAGCTCAGTATCGGGGCATAATGGGGCTCAATAAACAGCTGATGAGTAAATTAAAGAGCAAACTGTGACATTCATGGAAGCCATGGCTCTTCCTTCAAGAGGACCTTGCCTGAGGAACTGATTAGGGGCCTTGAGCTGCTATACTTTCACACTGGAAGGTGGACTTATCTCAGGATCATGCTTGGCAGTGATAGAGCACGGTGAGATGAGACTTCCAGCAGGAGTTCACAACAATCTTTGCTCTGGGGATCCATATCAGCTCAGACTTTGTAATGACCTATCAACCCTCCCTTCTAAAAGCCATTAAACTTCCACCATCGTCTGGGCTTTCCCCACCTACTCTTGTTCCCTCCTGTTTATTCTTCTAAGATCTTTTATGGCCTCTGATTCTTGCAGGGGCAAACTGACCTATTAGTGAGTCTCCTAGAACACACTGGTGCCTATCTGGACCCAAGTAATATTTTCCCAGTTTCTTGGCTGGACAAGTGTGGCTCTGTCAAAAGAGAAGCTCAGTGGAGAGGATGAAGGAATAGCCAAGAAGAACTTAAACCCTGTGGAAGCTTTTCCTGAGTGCCAGTGTTCAATATACACTCTATCGGGGCTTTAGCAGTATCCATCAGGCCATAAATTGTTTACATGGAAATTCCTGGCCTCTCCTCTAGTAAGTCCCAGGAAGGCTGTCTGCAATGCCACTACAGAAGGCAAGACCTCAGCTAGGACCTTTTCCTCCTGCCCCACAGCTGACCTGGCCACTTAGAGACCTTTCCCCTGGTTCTTTGTTTCCCTGTGAATCAAGGCCATGACGGCTTTGGCTGTTCCTGAGCAGAACCCCAGGAAATTCTGCCTTTGGGATACTGTTCTTGGCCAGGAGTCAAAGAGACGCAGTTTTGTCTTCTACCAAAAATATATTCTGTTTCCTCTCAGTCCTGTGCTTAATTCAAAAGAGTAACTAAAAATGCAGGGTAAACACATGCACTATTTTTATTCCCACCTCCCATGTGCATACCCTCCTCCTCTTCCAAATGTAGCCTTCAGATCCTGGCCTCACACATCAACCCAACTGTTGCAATGGGAAAAATGAAAATGTTCTCCTTCAGTGGGATGATCACTTGCTTCAGTAGCTTGTCCCTTCTGTGCTTGACTTTCCTGCTTCACTGTCCTTTCACCCAACTCTCCCAGTGTGAGGAACACATAGAAAAGGGGGGCTTTGGTTTCTGACTAAAAAACCAGTGACTATTTGGAGACAAATAACATGTATAGGCCTCAAGTATGATTTGTGCTTCAGCTGTCAATGTTACCGTGCAGACTTCAGGTCAGCCTTTGACCCTCCTAAATTACTCGCCATCTCAGGACGCCATCCTCCTTAAGCCCAGCTGGCTTACAAATGCCTAACACATAGCTGATACTCAGGAAATCATTTTGAAATCTTGAACAGAGCTTGTGATATAGTGGTATGAAAAAATATATGGAAAAAAACTCCAGTAAAATGGGAAGAAATTGTATTATAAAACAATCCTTTGGTTCCCCATCCTCCTATTGCCAATGGTTAATCTTGCTCATCAACTTGATTGGGTTGAGAAATGCCTAAATAAGTTAAACACCCTTTGGTGTGTCTGTGAGGGTGTTTCTAGAGATGATAATATCTTGATTTACTGCTCTGCAGAAGCCCTGAGACCCTCTACACAGCCCCTCACAGGAATCTCCGTTTACATAGTTACTGTGCCCCTGACACCCTCTTGGCCTGGCAGCCATTAGTTAACCATCCAGAAATTCCGAGCATTTGGCATTCCCAGGCCTCATTTTCCACTACAGTCTGTTCTGTGAATGTTTGAGAGAAGCCTCAGGGTTGGAGTACCGGGGAAAATGAGGGCAGTGAGGTGGGAGTTTATATCTTTGAGGGCACTGTAAGTGAACACAAACAATAAGTGTTTTACTATTCCTTTAATTCAGATTTTGTCAAGTGGGTGGCACTTAAGTGACCAAAACTTATCAGCTTTTTCATTTACTCATCCTTTTAAAAATTATGGAGGAGCCACTGTAAGCCAGGGCTCAGGCTCACACCGTGGCACTGAGAAGTTCCTGAGTCTAGGGAGAGACCACACTCTATAGTGACAGAGCATGAGAAGGGACACGCACAAGGTAAAAGTATCTGTTCTTTTAGTTGCAAGAAGCAGAAATCCACTGTACTTTAAGTTAGAAACAACTGTATTTGCTCACAGGAGAGAAAAGTCCAGGGCAAGGTTGCTTTCAGACATAGCTGGATCAAGACACTAAACATCATCAAACTTTTCCCTCTCATTTCTTGAATCTCTGTGGTCCTCATTCCAGGGAAGGCTTGCCTCCTATGGTAGCTAGAGTGCTCCATGTTTACTTCCTACTAGTTTAGTAAACTCCATATGAAGAGAACTCTTTTCTAAGACTTTCAACTAAAATTTTAGAAGTGAATTTCACTGAGATAATGTGCCCAGAACTGGAGATACAGAGAAAAGCAACAGGTTAGCTCTACCCAATATATAGACTTGGAGGGGCCAAGGGAAATGTTTCCCAGTGGGAAACTCAACAGCACTTACAGAGGGGGAGTGGATTCTGGTGGAGGAAACCATTTTCCTCAGCACAGTGTGGGAGTTTAGATGTGACAGTAGCCTAATCCCTTGGAAGAAATCAGAAAGCTTTCCCAGAGGGACCAATGGATTTCAAGAATGGATAAGATCTGCCGGCGGGGTGAAACTGTTGAGACAGAAGGCCCATTCAAAGAAGAAACAGCACAGCATATGAATAATAAATGGTTTTAGACAAGAGAGCTCTGTGTGACCAGACTATGACCAGATAGTACCATTGCTTTAGGGAAGACAGCATGAATTTGAGGCAGGAGAGAGCCTGAGTCTCCTTCAGGAGACCCTCCTCAGTTTCTTAGTAATGATGACATGGTTTCTGAAGATAAGAAGGGCAAGCAATAATGCAATTTAAGTGTTCTAATTGTCACATCCCAGCCATTCCTTTGTTAAAGGCATAAAAGTGCTGCGTGTGGTGCTACAAGTCTGAGGTCCCAGCTTCTCAGGAGACTGAAGCAGGTGGATGGTTTGAGCGCAGAAATTCTGAGCCAGCCTGGGCACCATCCAAGACCCTGTCTCTTAAAAAAATAAAATGCCTACAGGGCTGCTAAAAAGTCTGTTCCTCACCTTGAAATGTAATTTGTGAAGTAGATTTGCTTTTGGTTCTCTTGGATTTTTGTTTGCCTTTTAATGTGAAGTGAGCGGGGAGAGAAACTTAACACATTATGAGGCTTTCAAGGAGCCCTGTGTGAAGACAAAACCATTTAAGGCACAGTGTAATATTGTACAAGAAAGCAATACTAAGTTCTTAAGAACAGAGTTTTGGTTTTGCCAATTAACTATTATTAGACTTTTTTAGACTATCACAAAAAGGGCTATTATGAAAACACACAGGCTATGGCCTGTTTCAGCAGCATTGTATGAGCATCCTTTTGTAGTCTGGTTCTTCTTCCCGAGTACCATTTCTCCAAGGTGGTGTAATGTTGAATATTCCCAGGGTTCAAACCAGCAGGTAGATAATAGCTCCAGGCCTAGAAATGTTCCCCAATCCCCAAAATTCTCTTAAAAATTTTAAATCCTCGGTGTACCTACCTGGAACACGTCCATCCATAATCATGTGAGGAGTGATTTTTTTTTCTTTGCAGTCTCCTCTTCTTGAACTAATTCTATTTGGCAAGCAATTTTGATACACATTAGGTAACCACTGTTTTCTGGCCCCTCCTCTCAGCCAATGAAAAGAACCAACACAAAAACTACCACAACTAATGTTTATTCTTGATTTTGGTCACTACTTTTCATGCTTCCTTCTTTTCCTCCACATGTTAAATATATAATAACCAAAACTTCATTAATTTACAAATAAAGAAACATGCGCAGCATGTATGCATGGTAGGTAGTGATGAACCCAGGCAGCGGTGGACTACAACGCCCAGGGGTACCAAGTAGGTCTTTGTGGAACAGAGCAACTATGTCTGATGCGCTCCAGGGGTCTGCGCCACTCCCAAGCTGGAGACCCTCCATCAAAGAGCCACATTGGGTTAAAGACGGTTATTAACAACATGGAAGAGTTCCTGTTCATACTAAGGGCCAGGCTGCACTCTCATTGTTTTCCTGAGTCCTCCTTTTGTTCTTTTGTCTGACAATTGTCCTAAATTCAGTGAAATGCCAAAGAAGATACAGATGAAGGGAACACAGAATGGAATGAGAAAAAACATACATGGAATGAATCCAGGAAGTTCTGTAGTAGACAACTGTTAAGTCTCCTTGATGAAGCAAAAACATACAGAACATTTAATCTGCTTATCTTTGCCCAAAGGGAAAATTGCATATATTTTTGGCTTGTGTTAAGTAGCTAAGGCTTTTTCAGAGGTGAAAAAAATGTCATGGGAAAATGGAAAATCTAATGTCTATAGCACACTAAATATCTAAGAATGGTAAAATATTAAAGAGCAAGAGGCAATAGTTGAAAAAAAATTCTAGTACACATGTTGCATGAAAGTAAAATCATGACATGAAGCAGTTCAGTCACTGAAATAGCACTTGATGTATGAACTCAACCATTCCTTTTCCACTTCAGCTTCTCAGAGGTTTGACTTCAGTTGCCTGAGCATTTTCAACATTATCTTTGCCTTTATCTTTCTTTATGCGGATAAACACAACTGCTAAAATTATACCTAAAAGAGAAAACCAAGGGTCAAAGAGAATCTTTGAGTGTACGCCACACAGTCACTTATAAAATAGTGTCTTCATAGGAAAAAGTGACTCATATATCTTAATCTTTGTTCAGCAAAGTTCTGTTATTCTAGTGAAGGAAGGACCGTAGACACTGGCTGTCTTGGATAAGTGAGCTCATCACATTATCAGCAGGTATTATCGGCTGGTATGTCCCAAATCATATTTAACCTGGGAACTGTCACCAAGTCTCTACCAAGAAATACAAGACCCAATATCCTACCCTGCTCTGAGTATAAAGCACCTAGCAGAGTTCCTGAACTCTGAACTCAAATATTGGTTCCAGTCCTTCTCCTTCCCTAGAGAAAACAGCCCAACAAGAACAACCAGAAGGCTGTCCTTACCTGTTTATCTACCTAGAGCCTACTTTCATCATGTCCACCCCAAATATGTATTTTCTTATGGTCATCCTTGTGGTTCCAACTTATGCAGTTGAGGGACCTTGAGCAGACTGCTTGAGCCTTCTGCTATCTCCTATCTCTTACCTCCTACAAAATTACATGTGTACCTGTGCATTAATGTATATTATCATAGCCCTTAGGGAAATGGGAATTGTTTTAAGGAAATTACCTCCTGTCAGTAAGTTTACCAAGGGGAATCAAGACATAAAAGATTGGATGCTCAGAAGCCCATTAAGAATCTTGTAGTAGTCCCAAGCCTATTTTGAAAAGAATAAGGATATAGAACTATAAGATCCTATAAATTATATGTCCCCAAGCTCATACATTCTATTAATTGTGTTAGGACTATGGGATTAAATGAATGTGTAAGAAAATTACTATTTGGTGCATAAAATCCTTTCAAAGTGAGTGGGCCAAAGAATAATAGGTATAGAGGTAGAAGGGAGCTTGGTGAAGACTTCAAAAAGCCAGCTCCATTGGTATGAAAGGTGTGCAGTAGATAGTAGTTCTCAGGGAGGCATGACCCAGAATTCCATAGCATCTTAGCCATGATTCTGCCTTGGTCTTAGCCTACCTAAAGAGCAAAAATACCCTCTTCTACCTCTCTCTCTCTCTCCCTCTCTCTCTCTCCCTCTCTCCCTCTTTCCCTCTCTCCCTCCCTCCTTTCCTCCCTTTCTCCATTTCTCTCTCCCTCTCTGCAATTTAGTACCTTCTGTAGTGATTGCACTCTTTCAATTGTTGCCCTCACCACAAGTTAATTAGAAATACATTAATTCATGTGTATCTGATGGAAGGAGTTAACACAGTTCCAAATACTTTTTTTCTTTAAAACAAGGAGGAAGGCTGGGATTATTTCAAGTATTTTTGATTGTTTCCTTTGCATCTAGTGTTTTTCCCATGGCCTAACCCATCACATTGGGCTCTGACTCATGGGTCTAAAAGGGATCTTCTTTCTTTATACTCTTCAGTCTAAATTCCTTATTACACAGGAAGGCCTTTATGACATGGCTACTACCTATCTGGGTCATATAAAATCAGAGTGCACAGTCAGGAAAACATTCAAAGGGAAATTTCAAAATATTTCAGGTGCATCCACAGCTCCACTGAAAGCCAACTTCTACCTATTCCAACAATGGCAGACGAGATCTGCGTGAAGGATCGCTATATCTGTCCTATGAAGCACTGTATAGCAGGGGCACAGCAACTACATTTCTTTCCCTTCATTATGAAAGCTTGGCCACTAGGCTTCAAATAGAACAGTTTATGCTCTAAGAGCTTGCCTAGGTTTGGATCTTAAGTGATCTCCAATGGCCACATGTTAAATGCTTGGTCCCAAGGTCAGTGTTATTGGGAAGTGATAGAAACTTAAGAGGTAGGACTTATTAGGAGGCTTTGCAGTCATTAAGAACATGCTCCTGAAGAGGAGAGGAGGACGCCAACCCATTCCCCATCCTCTGTCATTTGGCTAAATGGCTCTGATCCACTTTGTGTTCCCCACCATGATGTGCCTCGCCATAGGTCCTCAAACAACAGGCCAATTGATCATGGCATAGAACTTCTGAAATCATGAGTCTAATAAACCTTTTCTCTTTATAAATTGATTATCTCAGATATTTGTTACAATAAATGAAAGCTGCTTAACACAAAACCTCTTATGGTATATTCCCCCAATCAACTAAGTAGAGGGTGGTTCCAAAGCAGTATCTCCCAACCAAGATCTTTTGATGTGATTGACTGGCAAACTGTGTCCTTGGTTAGTGCCTAAGGTGCCATTTGAGTAGCCACCAGACAGACTCCAAAGACAGACTCCGAGATAAGCTTATGTTTCTGAGACTAGGGACAGGAATCCTCAAATACAGGAAGTTATACTCACCAATGATCAGAAAGGTAGTCACAAGTATACCAACTGCCATGCCCACAGTGGGTATCCCAGCTTGGTGACTCGCTGGCCGGAAACAGCTTCCTTCTACACATGTGCAGAAAGTAACTGAAAGAACAGTATTTGGTATGATAAAATTTCAAGTGAATAGTTTCAGAATCCCTTGTGAAAGAGAAGAATTAGGGCTGGGTATGGTATCCTATGCTTATAATCCCAAATACTCGGGAGGCAGAGATTGGGAAGATCATGGTTTAAAGCCAGCCTGAGCAAAAAGTTAGCAAGACCCTATCTCAACAATTAAGTGAGGTGTGATTGTGCATTTCTGTTAGGGATAATAGGCATGCCTCCCTACATGGGGGTATAGGTGAATCATAGTCCCAGGCCCATCCAGGCAAAAAAGTGAGATCCTGTCTAAAAAAATAACCAAAAGCAAAAAGGGCTGGAGGCGTGGCTAAATTGCCTGGCAAGAACGAGGCCCTGAATTTAAACCCCAGTACTGCCAGGGGAAAAAAAGCAAAAATTTCCTTAAACTGCACAGATGCTATCTTAAGTTGCCTGTAACAAGTACCTACCTGGTAAAGAGACTGTCCTTTCCAAGGGTGGTCGACCCCCATCATTGATGTGAATTGGGATCTCATAAACTTTCTCCTCAAAGTTCGTGTGCCTGGTGGAGAGTCTGGCATGGGTGCCTGTCAGAACAGGGAGACAAGGAATGACAGGAGAAAGACACAATATCAGACTCCCAGCTGAACAGGAATAAAATTCATCCTTGTGCTGTTTTCTAAGGCTGACTGGAAAGAGGTTAGATGTGAGTTAGTCACTCGAAGTATTGCCTCCAGCCTCCCACAGGCATCTTCTCACCATGTAAAAAGTGCTAAAGCATCCTTTAAATTCTCAACTCACCATTTCTTAGTAGAAATGAATACTAAATACAGTCAGTCCTCATCATTTCCAGTAGTTCTGTTCTATATATTTGCCCCAAATGTGAGATTAATGAATATTGAACATTTGCTCTTTAGGGAAATCCAGGGTTAGGTTCTCGTGAACCTTTGGTCATGACACTTTTAACTAACTAGTGAATATATAATTTGCTTCCTGTGTGTTTCTGTTTAAAGATACCTTATTTAAAGATGCAATGTTAACCATCAGCACCAAATTCATGGCCAGCAGATTAGAATACCTGTTTCCATCAAATTTATCTAACATGGATTTTCTCTGTAGGGTCCATCACAGCCTTCTTGTCCTTCAGAACACAAGACAGCACTTCACTCTGCTTCAGAGCCATTTTAAACAGTGAAATAAAAACACAAAGAGTTGGGTGTGCTGGCTCACACCTGTAATCCCAGCTATTCCCAAAACAAAGATTGGGAGGATCTTTGTTCAAACCCTAGTACTGCAAAAAAAAAAAAAAAGTACAAAAAACAAAAACAAGGCATAAGACACTAGGTAGACTCCAGAAAAGACACTGAGAATGGAAAAAAGAGGGCAGATTGACACTCTGTTCAACTTTGGCCAGGAATTCAAATTTTTACCCCTTGCTAGTGTCCATGAATGCTAAAGTCCATTAAGTACTGCTGGTGTGGGGAGTGGAAATTTGAGCAAGTAGATGAGTAGTTTGTGATACATAATCTTTGAGTCATGAGAATCTTTGAGTCATGGCACAGTGGATGAGAGTACACAGGACAGGGCATCTGTAGACCTGATCCTGAGTATCAAACCTGCCTCTTGTGAGCTACATGACATTTGCAAGTCCTACATCTACAGCCCTCAGAATCCCTTTGAGTCCTGTAATAAGGAGATGTGTGATATCTCACCTGATTTGGGGGTATTTCTTTTTCTTCTTTTATAGAGAATTGAGAGCATAAAATAACACTAAGTCTCAAATTTCCAAAGGACAATTTGGATAATGTTCCAACTCATTTTCCTTATAACCACAACCCCTCCCCTCATCACATATATGCCTAGAAAATTTCCAGAATTTGGGGAAATACTTTCAGACTTAAAAATTATTATGGTTTAAACCTCCATTCCTAGAAGAACAATGGAATAATAGAAACCAGGTTTACCATCCCACCAAAAACAATTGAGAACATACAAATGAAACCAAGGCTTTAAGGACCTTGGATATTAGACAATGAAGGACAGCGGTCCCTAAAAGGAGACAAACTATATATGTCCTATAATTGTCCCTAGCTTACTACCTACAGAGAATGACCAGGTGTCAGTGAACAGAGGGGGAGCCTAGGTTTGATCCTGAGTTGAGGCAATGAAGCAGGAATAGGGAGAGGTCAAGGCAACCAGAGTTCTTGAGCAGAGTGGGGAGGAGGGGGAGAGAGCATGCACCCCACACACATATACATATTAAAGATCTGCAAAGGGGCCCCTATTTGTCTTCAGCTGAGTGCTGCTCAGAATATGTACATGATGGAACTACCCAAGCCTGGAGAAAGAACCACCTAAAAGAACAATTCTTGGAGCTCACATGGGGCTGAGCCTAGTTCCTTCTGCTAAGAGCCAGTGTGGAAAACCACACAGTTCATGGGGCATTGGGTAGATGTCACAGGAGGATTTTGTCTCAAAAGTCTGGAAAAATGAGCCTAGAATAAACACTGCCCAGGCCCACCTAATCAAGTTTTAAAACAGTATGTGAAAGTAAGTAACTTAACTGCATTTCAGAATAAAGCTCAAAAATAACAGTGGGAATACAAAAATATTCAGCATCCAAATGCCTGACATTTATTTTTAAATTGCGAGACATGGCAGAAGAGAGAAAAATAATGATAATAGCTAATCAATTGAATGGTACAGGGCAAGAAAATAGGTATAATAATCATATTCTACATGTGCAAGAAGTAAGATGATCAAGAGTGTCAAGGAGAGGCATGGAAGATATGAAGAAGACCCAAGTTAGCTTAAAGATGAAAACTACAAAGTTTGATGTGAAAAGTATACTAGATGAGATCAATGGCAAATTAACAGAATAAAAATCAGTAACCTTAAATAGAAACAATCCAAAGTGAAATACAGAAAGGGGGGAAAAAAAGTGAAATTAGTACCAGTGAGCTCTAAGAGAGAGAACTCAAGTAGCCTAATATATGTGTAGTTGAATCCCTGGAGGAGAAGAAAGTTTCTGGAGAGACAGAAAAGTATTTGATGACATAGTGACTCATTTTTTTCCAAGTCTGATGAAAACCCTAAACCCTCAGATCCAAAAATATCAGCAAACCTCAGGAACAAGAAAAAATTAACAGAACTATACTATGATACATAATCAAGTTCCTTAAAACTGTAGAATATATTAAGACCATCCAGACATTTATTTTTAAATGTTACTTTCAAAGTAATGAAGACTAGAAATGCAAACTAGAACATGGTAGAGAAATATCTTTGAAGTACTAAAAGAAAAATGTCCAATAAATGTAAAAATATTTCAGCCACAAGTTCTCTGGTCACAATAGAATTAAATTAGAAACCAGAAAAATGCAGGAAATGTTCCCCAAAATATTTGGAAACTAAATAACACATTTCTTTTTTTTTTTATTCATATGTGCATACAAGGCTTGGGTCATTTCTCCCCCCTGCCCCCACCCCCTCCCTTACCACCCACTCCGCCCCCTCACTCTCCCCCCTACCCCCTCAATACCTGGAAGAAACTAAAATAAATAACACATTTCTAAATAACTCATAGGTCACAGAAGAAATATAAGGGAAAATTATATGGCATTTTAACATAATGAAAATGAAAACACAATATATCAAACTTTACTGAGAGAAATTTGTAGCACCAAATGCCTGTTAACAAAGAAAAATGATTTCAAATTAATTACCTCAGTTTCTACCTGAATGAAAATAAAACAAAAAGAATAAATGAAACACACTATAAGAAGAATGAAGAAAGTAAAAATCTGGGCAATGAAATACATAATAGAAAAGAGTAGGAAAATTGAGCAAATCAGAAGCTGGTGTTTTCTCTTGGGGATATACCCAAAAGACTGTTACTCCAGAGGCACCTGCACATCCATGCTTATTGCGGCACTATTCACAATAGCCAAGTTATGGAAACAGCCAAGATGCCCCACCACTGATGAATGGATTAAGAAAATGTGGTATCTATACACAATGGAATTTTATGCAGCCATGAAGAAGAACGAAATGTTATCATTCGCTGGTAAATGGATGGAATTGGAGAACATCATTCTGAGTGAGGTTAGCCTGGCCCAAAAGACCAAAAATCGTATGTTCTCCCTCATATGTGGACATTAGATCAAGGGCAAACACAACAAGGGGATTGGACTATGAGCACATGATAAAAGCGAGAGCACACAAGGGAGGGGTGAGGATAGGTAAGACACCTAAAAAACTAGCTAGCATTTGTTGCCCTTAACGCAGAGAAACTAAAGCAGATACCTTAAAAGCAACTGAGGCCAATAGGAAAAGGGGACCAGGTACTAGAGAAAAGGTTAGATCAAAAAGAATTAACCTAGAAGGTAACACACACGCACAGGAAATCAATGTGAGTCAATGCCCTGTATAGCTATCCTTATCTCAACCAGCAAAAACCCTTGTTCCTTCCTATTATTGCTTATACTCTCTCTACAACAAAATTAGAGATAAGGGCAAAATAGTTTCTGCTGGGTATTGAGGGGGGGGAGCAGGAGGGGGTGAAGTGGGTGGTAAGGGAGGGGGTGGGGGCAGGGGGGAGAAATGAACCAAGCCTTGTATGCACATATGAATAATAAAAGAAAAATGAAAAAAAAAAAAAAAGAAGCTGGTGTTTTTTTAAGTATCAATGAAAATTAATAAAACTCCAGCCAGATTTGTCAGTGAAAAAAGAAACATAATTTGCCATTATCAGAATGAAGTACTGTCACTACATATCTAAGGAATTAAGAGAATAAAGGATAACAATATGCCAATATATTAGATAAAAACAAACAGACAAATTATTTGAAAGCTACAAACTAACAAGCTCAACCAAGAATGAATACATAACTAAAATAGCCTTATCTCTATTAAAGAAATGGAATTTGTAGTTAAAACTTCTCACAAAAAGTCAGGGGCTGTGGTTCATCTGTATAATCCCAGCACTCTGGAGGCTAAGGCAGAAAGATCACAAGTTCAAGGCTAGCCTGGGCTACATAACAAAACTGTCTCAAAACAAAACCGTCCCACAAAAAAACCTCCAGTCCCAGATGGCTTCACTGATAAATTCTCCCAAATTTCAAAGAAGAAATAATACAAATTTTACACACACTCTTGCAGATAATTGAAGAGAGAGTATTGCCTAACATATCCCAGGAGGCAAGCATTACCCTGATATCAAAACCAGCCTTTAAAAAAATTACAAGAAAAATACAGAACAATATTCTTCATGAATACAGATGTAAAACTTCTTAAAATTTTAATAAATCAACACATCAATATATAAAAATAATATTTCATCATCAAGTAGGCTTTATCCCAGAAATAGGCAGTTTTAGATTCAAATGAGCCTATATAATTTACCAATTAACAGAACAAAAAACTCCAATTAACCATAAAATCATCTCAGTGAATGCAAAAAAAACACCAGAAAATTTTAACAACCATTCTTGATTTACAAGGGAAAAAAATCTCAAGTTAGGAATAGAAAGTAAAGTCCTCAAACTATTCACAATCATTCACAAAAACCTACAGCTAACATCAGACTTAGTGGTGAAAGACTGGATGCTGTCGATCAGAACAAGTCAAGAAGTTCTGTTCTCACTTCCTCTATTCAGCTTTGTCCTAAAGATTTCAGCCAGTAATAAGGCAAGATAAAGAAACACAAGATGTGCAGATTGAAAAGGAAGAAGTGAAACTGTCATTCCAGACAGCGTAATTGTCCATGTAGAGAGTCTGTGGAATCTCGGAACTGGGGATGTAGCTCAGTGGAAGAGGCTTGCCTAGCATGTGCAAGACCTTGAGTTAGACCCCCAGCATTGCTGAAAAGAGAAAAAAAAAAGGAAGGTAGGAAAGAAGAGAGGGAGAAAAGGGAGAAGGGAGGGAAGGAAGAAGGAAGGTAAATCTATGGAATCTAAATAATAAAAAATTAGTGAGATCAGCAAGGTTGGGTTGTAGAATATAAGGTTAATATCCAAAAATCATTATTATATTCCTATCTTACAAGTATTTAGAAACATAAATGTTAGAAATCTCATTTAAAAGATCATCAAATATATGAAATGTTTAGGGAAATTTTTGCATAAACTATAATGCTGAAACCTAAAATATGTTGCTGAAAGAAATGAAAGCAGACGTAAATAAATGGAGACAGATGCCTTGTTCATGATGTAGAAGACTCCCCAAACTCTCAGTTAGTTCAACGTAGTCCAGTCACTACCTCAACAGGTTTCTTTTGGTAGAAACAGACAAACTGAATTCTGAAATCAAAATGCAAAACACCAAGAAGAGATGTAATTTTGAAAAAGAACCATTTTGGAAAAATTATGTCACCTGATTTCAAGTCATAAAACTAAAGTAATCAAGACAATAGTATTGGGCTAAAAACAGACAATGATCAATTAAACAGAAAGTTCATATATATATATATATAAACTTTGTCAGGATAATTAATGTAAAAAGCATATTATAAAAGGTATTAGAATAATTAGCCATATTAAAAAACAATGAACATTGATCTTCATCACATAGCTTATACAAAAATTAACTTGAAATGGATCTTAGCTAATTGTAAATGCTAAAACTATAAAATTTAGGGGAAGAAAAATGGTAAAAGTTTTAGTGACCTTATACTTGGCAAAAATTTCTTAAATATAACTCATTTTAAAATCATAAATTACACAAGGCAAAAATCAGTCAAATTTTAATGAAATTTAAATTTTTGCTCTTTAAAAGATACTGCTATAAAATGAAAAATACAGTTGCCTAGGAGAAAATGTTAATAAAAGATATATCTGACAAAGCACATGTAGCCACTATTTATTTATTTATTTATAATATATATATATATATGGAGCAAGCTGTTGTCTGTTTTCAGTTCTACTTGGTTACAGTTATGTACAACTATTAAGGCAAAGAATCCAGGTGGGGGACCCAGAACAAGAATAATAAAAACATGCTAAAGCTGGGACTGACATTCTACTTCAGCAACATCCCTCAGCCAATGACCTTGCTTCCCTACCCCCGGCCCCCTCCTATTGGTCTCTGCAGATCTAGAAGCAATCCCGCCCTAAGACATGCACCACGTGCCATTTCATGGACAAACACTTATCAGGCCACAGACACTCCTGTTCATTTAAAAAATTTCTTCTTTTCCTTTTGCTTGCTTTCACGTGCCCAGTGAAAGCCTCCCCCCAAGTCAACTTATATATTATATATATAATATATACATATATATATATATATATATATATATATTTAAATGCCTACAATTCAGCAATAGACACCAAACAGCTCACTTTTTAAAATGGAAACAATGTCTGAGTAAATACTTCATCAATACAGACATAGGGTGGCAGGTCAGAACAGAAAAGATACTTAACATGTTAGTCGCTAGTGAAATACAAATTAAAATCATAATAAGATACTACTATACGCACTGTAAAGGCTAAAATCAAGCTGAGCAAAGCAAGTGTTGGGGAAAATGCTGAGCAACCAAAACTCTCATATATTGGTGGGAATATGAAATGTTAAGAACAATTTAGAAAGTAGTTAGACATTTTCTTAAAATCTTTGCACTCCTGGGCATTTAACCAAGAAAAATGAAATCATACGTCCCTACAAAATACTTCTTCACAAATTTGCATAGCAGCTTCATTTGTAATAGCAAAAATTAGAAACTAAATAATAACCAGCAAGTGAATGGATAACAAATTATGATGTTGTCAAATAGTGGAATACTACTCCATGATAAAAAAAACATGAAGTATTGATAAACACAATTACATGAACACATGTCAAAATAATTATGCTGAGTGGAAGAAGCTAGACCAAAACAGTGTGCATATTGTATTATTCTATTTAGATAAAAATTATTGAAAATGCTCTATCTGCAGTGACAGAAGGCAGACGAGTGATATCTGAGTAGAAGGGTTGTTTGATGTGGTGGGAAGTAGAGACTGCCATATGACAAAGAAAAACTTGGGAGTGATGACATATTCATTAACTTGATCATGCTGATGAGTTCAATAATATTTACATATAACAATTTTTTAAAAGTCATGCACATTGAATATACGTAATTTACTGTATGATTATGTTTCAATAAAGTGTTCAGAAATTATTGTGAAAGCTGTTGTTCAGTTATCATTGGAAATTTTGCAAATGGTACTCAAATTGTCCAACTATCCATCTACATTACACAGGATGCTGTGTGGTTCCAATCTTCCATCCCTCCAAAGCCCAGAGCTTTGTCCCTTTTGGAGACTCCCTGTGTGAGTTTCCAAAGCATGAATTTCCTTTCTGGAGCATGGAAGAAAACAGTGTTGAGTTCTGGAAACCCACAAAGGTAGTAAAGCCTAATTCCATCATACATCATGTTCTCCTCCATACACTTTACAACTCACCATTGACTTTGGAAACTTCCCAGTCCCTCTGAAAGCTTTCGCTGCCAAGGGCAAATGTAAACTGGGGACCCCGAAGTGACTGTTGATCATCGTCAGTGGCCTGGAAAATAAGGCTTCCTGGAGCGGAGGGAGGGTGGCAGAAGAATAAGCCTGTGTAATCCTTGGCTAGCCGTGGGGGATTGTCATTCACATCAGTAAGGGTCAGGTGGAAATTTGACACGGAGCTCAAGGAGGACCCACCTGAGGAATTGAATCATTAAAACATGGTGTCAGCAAGTTCATTGTCCTTAACAACAAAGAATACTTCTTTTTCTTTAAAAAATATTCAAGCAGTCAGGTCTACTGAGGAAGCAGGAAGAAAAGAAACTTTTAGAATCAAAGGCCTGGCTTTATTCCTGGTTTAAAAGTCTAAATGTTGATAATGCTAACAAAGATCTCTATGTTTATGCTTTACTTATATTACTTCAAAACAATCCTGAGATACATTTACAGATGAGGAGACTGAAGCTCAAAGAAGTTGTACCCAAGGTCACACAGCTAGAGAGCAGTACAGAGCCTTCCAATCAGGGGGCCTAACTATCACCCACACCCTCAATCACTCCTATCACTGCCTCAGGCATGAGAGTCCACTTTTCTAAGCCTCATTTCTTTAGCAGAAAAAACAAACAAACAAATAACAAAAAAAAAATGTGGCTTTGTGAAGATCCCACATATAAGGGAATGTTCTAGAAAATAGTAAACAGCTACACAAGTGTTATTTGTCATGCTATACTGGTAAAAAAAAAATAAATCTCGTTCTCTGCTGTGTGACTAGTTGGTAGTTGTGTGATCTAAGCGAGGCAAGTCACTTAATTTCTCAGTGTCTTGGCTTCCTTGTGCACAAAGTATGGTCAATAGCAGAACTGACCTCATAGTGTCGGATGGAGAGAAAGTTATTACCCGAGGTGTGCAGCGCTCGGCTGTCAGTGCAATGTAAACATGGACTCTTTTCTCTGACATCAAACACGGATACTGTTTCTACAATTTCTGACTCTGCTTCAGTTCCAGTAAGCCCTATTTTCTGGCGCCGGCTTTGCTTCCAGTAAATCCTGATCTTTTGCTTTTCTTTTCAAATGTCTTCTATGTCCCTGACCACTCTAAACCAAAGTCAGAAAACCCACTGATGTTTTTGAAGTTGTTTTGTCTATTTACATTATTATTTCAGTGCCAACAACTGGAAATGGACAGTGGAAACCTCTAAAATGTGAGAAACCCTTAGGACACGTCCAAAGTGAAGTGTTGATCCAGTGCACGACAGGAAGGCCCAGCCAGAGACTTCCTGCTGATTAACTGGGACCTTCTAAATCAAGAGTTAAACATACACAATGTGATGGTGGAATGTGCTCAAGCTGAGGCAAGTGACAGAGACAGATCCATCCACTCACACATCGTCCCAAAGCTGGCACATATTTCTGCATGTCTGCCTACTTTGGTTTAATTTCACTGTGGTCATTTTGTTTCTTCATCATCTCTTCACACACAGAAACAATTTTTATGATTCCTTTCTCTGCTTCCCATTTCAGCCTCCAATTTGGGGTTCTGTATTTTAAAAGTTTATTTTTTAGTCTAAAGCTGTATTTATTTAATAGTAATTTGTTGCATTCTCATTTCTTTTTTGTAAACCAAGCAGATATATTTACTTATCTTGGAGCCTCTAATCAGCATAAGATCAATAGAACTCCTACTATAAATTGGAAATTTCCATTTAAATGCAAAGGAACTCAGTGTTTTAATTATCAGCCTTATCATCATACTATTCCTATGAGTTTATTCTTATTTTAATTTCAAAATTTCCCTGGAACTCCTTTCAATAGTTCACAGATACCCAGGCCCCCCAAACCTACTGCATCAGAATCTCCAAGGTAGACTCCTAGGATGGCTATTGAACAAGCCTACCAAGTAGTTCTGACACATAACAAAGAGGAGAATATTATAGAAAACATTTTTCTGCTTCAAAAAGGATGGTGGTACACACTTGTAATCTCAGCACTAAGGAAGGTGAGGCAGGAGGATCATGAGTTGAAGGCCAGTCTGGGCTACATAGTAGGTTTGAGGTCGACCTGGACTAAATAGTGAGACCTTGTCTCAAAAAAAATAAATAAATAAAAATGAGACTTAAGGAACTACAGTTTAAGGCTCAAGGAACAAATAGCAGTCTAGGTCAACAGGCCACTGGTTTGACCTCTCTCCCAGAAGAAACCTACAGCCTTGCCCAGAAGAAGCCCAGGCGGGCACAGGTGGCTCTCATCCTTAGGAAAATCAGGAGGAGGTGACACCCCTCTCCAGGTGAACTTCCCCCTCCCAAGTGAACTCCCACCACTACCACCTCACCTCCCTCACACACCCTTTTTTGTACTTATGTCATCCTTCTGAGGTTGATCCAGTCTGGTGTTGGGCCTCATCAGGTTTCTCGCCTCCCCACCCCCTATTTCTGTTGATGAGTCCCTGATAACATATGTTCCCCCACCTTTTTTTTCCTCACCTACTTCAGTGGCCACCACTTGGACCCGGTACAGACTTTCAGTTTCCCTGTCTAGAGGAGCTGCACTAAAGATGTCACCAGTGACAGGGTCAATTCTAAGCCAACCTCTTGTGTCACCTCTCAGTGAATACCTTCACGAAATGAAAAGAGCAAGAAAAAAAGTCTGCATTATTTTGAATGAAAATTAAAGACTATCAGCATTATAATTTGTATATTATTTACAACATATTTGAAGAATCACTGTCTCAAGTTTTTATATGTATATCATCTAGTTGCAAAAGGAGAGTTTTTTCATCCTTACAACATGGTGTTTGTGCTTGTTTTGTCAGGAAAGCTACAGTCACAAACTCTGGAAGAAAAATTTAACATTCCTGGCAATCAAGGAATTCAAATTAAAGCAACCTGGAAATGTCTTTTAAAACTTCTCAGAAAACCGCCCCCTCTAAGGAAAGCTGAACGGTGTGTTGGAGACACTGGTGAAAGAGATGAAGAATTATAGACTGCCAGCAGCCCAGTAAATTCCTCATTCAACAGTCATCCTAGTGAACACATAGACAGTGAACCCAGGGAAGGATTTACACAAAGGGGCTGATAGGCCAGTGGAGGAGGCAGATCCATAGACAGGCAATTGCATTAAAATGTGATAAATACAATGGAAGGGGTCCACTGGAGCCCCACAAAAATTTGTGGGAGTCAAAGAAGTATTTCTAAAGGAGATGTTACCACAGACAAGAAGGGTACTTCAAGCAAAAGAGGGTGCACAAGCTGGAGCAGGGAGGCCAGGGACTAGCTTGGTAGATGTTGGGGAGTCACATGCTTCAGCAGTGTTGGGGTACACATGGGAAATAGTGGATGCAAAAGGTGAGGCCTGCTAGGTTGGAAGAGCCAGACCATGGAAACACTGGGCAGCTATCAGGTGTTAAGGGGGAAGTGACCTGGTCATATCTGGAACTCATCGGTAGGGTGTGACAGACGAATTTGGGAGAGACAAGACGTGAACCATTTTTTATAATGTTTTGACTATATGTGTTCATGTAATTCTTTAACTTCAGTTAAATTTTTTTTATTTAGGCATAATATCCAGGAGTGTATTTGGTTTAAAGATGGAGACATCCTTAACGGTCATGATGTGTTCCTTTCCAAAGGACTAAGTCTTGCTGCCCTCGACCAGCTCTCTGGAGAGCCAAGGAACTTAGGCACCATCCAGACAATTTCCTTTCCCCTGGAAGGGGGCCCGATCTGCTTTTGCTTTTGGCTCTCTGTCTAGAACTCTAGTCTACCTTGGGGCTGGAACCTATCCCCAGACCTCAGACCACATGACTGTCTAAGACACAGGCCGTGGCTCTGTCATGCCCAGTCTCTAGGAATTGAATCCTACCGCAGAGCTCACCAGTTCTTAGCTGGGACCTGCAGCAAATGGGCTGGAATGAACCCGACACTGCTTCCCACTTGTCTGAGACACCTGCCTGAACTGAAGGCCAGAGACCCTGCCTCAGATTGCTGGCTACTCTGTTAGCCAGCAATAGACCGTTAGCCAGTGTAGACCAGTTCCTCCTCAGCCCCTCTGGCTGTGGTCGCAGCACATGTCTAGGCCTGCCCAGCCTTGCTCTCCTGTACCTTACACCCAGACCTTCGGGATCTCTGGCAGTCACATTGCCCACTTTTGTGCCCACAGCCGTGTCCTCGCTGACTTTTTCCTGGAATATGTGTTGAGAAAATACAGGTGCTTCATTCACATCTGTCACAATAAGCCTGAACGAAGCAAAAGAACTGGTGTTGTACACTACACCAGACACCAGAGGCTCTGGATTTTCTGCTTGGAACACAATGGTGGAAACAGGTGCTGTTTCAAAATCAAGAGGCTGTGGAAGGAAAAAGAGGAAAAATTAATTTTGGGGTGATTGGTTCCCGTGAATGATTCATTTCCTATGCACTTTAAAAACTCTCATACAGAGAGCAGTTCTTAATTCAGTGTAGCAAAAATCTCCTTCCTTGAATGATGATATAGAACCATTAAACAGTCTACTGTGGGATTTATGAGCGCTTTCAATATTTTAGTGTGCATGTGACTGTCCTAGAGGAAGAAATCTAATGTACACTCCTCAAATTCATTTCACCCTGGGGCGCTTCACTCATTCATTCACTAGAAAGTTATTTTCTCAGGCCATAGTTTGGGAAGGACTTATCCTACAGACATTTCCAAATTGTGTGGCATGAAAAACTGCTCACCATCACTGGTCATAAAGGAAATGCAAATCAAAACCACACTAAGATTCCACCTCACTCCTGTTAGGATAGCCATCATCAAGACCACCACCACCAACAGATGTTGTGAGGATGCAGGGGAAAAGGAACCTTCATACACTGCTGGTGGGAATGTAAGCTAGTACAACCACTCTGAAAAACAATATGGAGGCTTCTTAAAAAACTAAACATAGATCTGCCATATGATCCAGCAATACCACTCCTAGGGATAGACCCAAAGGAACGTGACACAGGTTATTCCAGAGGCACCTGTACACCCATGTTTATTGCAGCACTATTCACAATAGCCAAGTGGGAAATAGTCAAGCTGTTCCACTACCAATGAATGGATTAAGAAAATGTGGTATTTATACACAATGGAATTTTATTCGGCCACAAAGAAGAATGAAATTTTGTCATTCACAAGTAAATGGATGAAACTGGAGCACATCATCTTAAGCGATGTTAGCCAGGCTCAGAAGGCCAAAAAAATCACATGTTCTCCCTCATATGTGGACTTCAGACCTAAAACAAATGCAGTGATATTATTGGACATGGGTCACACACTAAGGGGCAGCCACACATGGGAGGACTAGGGAAAGGGAAGGAAACCTAAAACTTGAATGTGGTTGATGTGCTCACTGTAGAGAAGTGAATATAGTAATCTTAAACTGGCAGAGGCCACTATGGGAAGGGGACTAGGAAGCAGTGAAGACGTCTGATAGAGATGAACTCATGTGAGTTTTAACACACATGTACATGGAAGCACTGTCCTGCTCCTGACTGACCCCACTTAGCCCCAGGACTGTGATGGCCGATCCCACAGTGGCTTAGTAAAGATTGAGTGAGGCAGCCTCTCCACAACTTGTTCAGTTAGAAGCACCACTTGAGGACTTGTCGAAACTTCTGTCTCGAGGCTTTTCCCTATAAGGGCTGAGGCATCAGTCCCCAGTGGGGCAGAGTGTGTTTCAATGCTTAAAAGTGATTGACACAATTGTTCTGAAGTAATGGTCATCCTTTGACAGCTTTGTAAGCAGAGACATAGATGTCAGACTAAGCTATGCATTAAAAAAAAACACATTAAAAGTCTGCAATATAAAATTCTTTGGCATGTATGTCATACAGACCAAAATGTATCACATTTAATCACAATTGTATCGTATCAATACATTTTCACAAAAAACCTGTCACATTTTTTCCTACATCCAGTAGGCTAACATTTGGTGTTTCCAAATCAAATCTACACCTCAGCGTTAGTTGTTATTTGGCATTTGAAAGAACCTAATCTGAGGTCAATACTCTAGAGGTAGCTAAAACAGCTTTCCAACTGGCACTCTCAGTCAGTGCCAATTGCTAATTAGCAAACCAATCTTACAAAGAGATTTTCTTGGTGGAATGAGTAGAATTTATGTATTCAGTTTGGTTAAAAATAAACTATATCACTTGATCATTGCCAACAGATGGTTAAGCCTGGTTGGCCCAACAGATGAACCCTTCTGAGTTCTAGGAGTCTGACTGTGCTCTGTTAAGTATCAATCTTCCTATGGATGACCAGACAAATCCTCTCTCTTGAATACTGCTATTACATGTCCTGTGGACAGAGAACTGTGACTTTCGGCTCTCTGGGTAAATGATTGCTTATGTGACTGTTAGTAATTGTACATAGGACTGATTATAATAATTCAGTCAAGAAATATTTACTAAACCTCAATAAGGTACCAGGCAATATTCTAGACACTTGAAATATAAGCTAAACATGTGACAAAGTTTGGTCAGAGGTCTGCTGCACAGCACCTCATGTCAAGTTTGCGTGGCAGGATACCCCTATCACTCACCACTATAGGTTACCAACACCTCCCTAAATGTGCCCATTTGGGCCAAATTAGGTTAGGTTGATTTACAATAAGCCACCACAAAAAAATATATCGACATAAAGGAATCATCCCTACTGGGATGGACTATCCTCTGTCTTCCCTTAAATCCCTAGAGAACTCTGGTCCTGATTGGGAAGGGTAGGAGAAAGCTATCCCATACTGTACAAAAGGATCACGCAATGATGCTGCCTGGCCACCCACTCTCAACTCTGAAAACTGCCTTCTCCCTACCCTTTCCTTCTCTCCATGTAGACAATCATGACTGGGAAGTTATAATAGCATCTTTTTCCAAATGCCAAGCTTACCCAGAGTGCTATGGTATGAGTTGTACCCACACAAAGCTCTCCACCGAAGCCAGGAAGGCCCTTTGCCCAAGGTGGGATCCATAGCGACAATGCAATTGGAGTTCCCAGTTACTGTCTCAGGGCCTGCTTTAGCATTAGCACCTTTTCCTCTTTGCTTTTGTCCATTTTCTGTGAAATTATTCTATTTTGTATTCAGTTTTAGCCTCTACTTTCATATTCACTCCGACTCAAAACTATTTTCCAGACTCTTCCTTTGCAGCTTCCAATCTCCTGCTGTGCAATCCTTCAGCAACTAACTATGCTTGCAGATTCTCTGTTGCTCTACCTCTGGTCCTTTTTAACTGGAAGGCTTCACTCTTTGCCCCAGAAAGGTATTTCCAGGGGATAACTCAAAGTATCCAGTGAATGATATTGAGTGTTACTTCCATGTGAGTCACCTGGTAAACCCTTTATGTCCTAACACAGATGAAGCAGATACAGTGAAAAAAATCAAGACTCAGGTGTACATGGTGGGGGAGAGGAGCAGGTTGAAGGAGGGTTGGAAGAGTACATAGCTCTTAGAGAGGGAGTGACAAAGCCAGAGCCAGTGGGCTTAACACCATAAAAGATGTAAGTAAGGAGCGGGGTGAAAGGATAAACTTGCCTATCAGCCTGCAAAAGGAGACCCAACAATATCCAGTCACCATTGAGGAGGAGTCGGTGCCAGGCATGCTAGAATAAAGGGTGTATAGCCTAAGAGCCACAGAGTTTAATCTGTCCTAGCACCCCACATTTTCACAGGAGTAAGTGAAGCTGTAAGTGCCACCCCAAAAGAGGTGGCCAGATTTATCAGATAAAATATAGATTAACTACTTAAATTTGAATTTCAGCTAAAGAACAAACAATTTTTAGTATGCTTTTAAATATTACATGGGACATACTTATATTTAAAACATGGTTCTTGTATTTTATGTGGCATTCATTAACATCTCGTAAAAACTATCAGCCATATAGTGACAGAGTAGAACTAGAACCCTAACTTTCTGTTTTTCGGGAGGATGAGAAGGATAGTGTGTGCCAGGAGTCCATTGCTATGCCTGAAGAGGTAACATGTCACCTCGGCTTAGTAGTCCTCACACAGTCCCAAGTAAACTAATCCACAAAAAAGACAAGTTCATTAAATAAACTATTTACCTTTTTAATCATGACGTAGCCTGCATTGGTCTGGGGATCTGTGTCGACCCCCAGTCTCCCCTCACTGTCTCCCTGTATAATCCGATACAGGATTCTAGAACTCCCAGTAAACGGTTCATCATCATCAGTGGCTTGGATGGTTAAGATGATGGTCCCAATGGCTGTGTCTTCAGGGAGAGTCAGGTTTCCATACTGAGGAGGAAATAGAGGATGGGAACAATGACAATGTCCATTGTCACCCACCATAAATGCCAAAGGAAAAACTTGTCTTTTTGGTTTCAGAATGGACCCTCATCATGGTTTGCATCAATATTTACCAGGCATTAAAAATATATATTTCCCAGGCATGTTTTTGCTATGAATGAGTACTTTGTATTGATCTTAACATCAGTCATACTTACAAACCAAAATCCATGATACCAAAGAACATCTCAAAGACCTAGGATCCTAAAACAGACTACCCCTCCCATATCCAATGTGTTTAATAACTGTCATTATAATAGTAGAAATGATATAAATGGCTACAATGTATTAAATACCAAAAGTGTGACAGATGCTTTGCAAATGTACATTATTTTAATTATAAATAACTAAGGAATAACAGTTAAGAGTTTGAACTTCAGAGCCAAAGAGCTGGGAATGAGTCCTAAATTTGCCATTTGTTAGGTGAGTGCCTTGAAGCAAATTAGCTCACTTCTTTCTGTGCCGGTTTGATCATTTGTCTAATGGAGATAACAATACAACCTACTTCCTGTCTGTATGGGGATTAAGAGAGATAATAATTCATGGAAAGCCCCTGAATGCCTGGTGTACAGTCAATGCTCAAAAAAAGATAGGCAACGAAACAGTCTATGAGAGGCTACATGACCAAGCTCCACTTGACAAAGGAGCAAAAGCCTGGGTGGTTCAAACGCATCCAGGATCACACAGCTGGCAAATCATAGGCTTGGGATTCAAACTCATGTGTGTCCAACTCTAGAGCTTGTGCTATTATTGCTGGCCTAAATAATTCTCCACACCTCCCCCCCCGGAAATCTGCAGGTCAGCTCTCATGGCACCATGATCCCAAAGATGGTACCTGGAAGGGTCTAAGAGAGGACAGGGCAATGAGACAAGTAGGCTCACTTTCCCTATATTTTTCCTATATTCCCTATATATTTCCCTTTTTGCATCTCTAAGTTCTGAGACTCCCAAAGCAGAATTCTTATGCTCAGCCTAAAGAACACTGGATGAAATGCAGGGAAATCACCACACTGGGAAAGAGAATGGAAGCTGAGAAGAAATGGGTTCTTTATTTCATGCTTGCTTAACATCAGTGCCTGTTATACAAGGTACGTTCAGTCACACTTCTTACTGTTCCAAACCCTATCATAAATCAGTTCTCTCCTTTGTCCCAGCCTTGTCCCTATTTTGATGTAGGAACATTCATAAGAGGACTCTGGGCTGCCTCATAACTGACTTCAAACGTGACATAACCATCTAGTCAAATGGGCTTCTTTCCCTTCCAAACTAAATAAATCAAGACATCCCTTTTAAGGGAAGCAGTGACAAAGCCATCACTGAGTCTGAAGCCTGTATCAAAGACAAGAAAACAATCATTTCCATTTTTTGATGCTCTAAATTGATCTTTTCTCTTTATGCCCAGTTCTAATTCTTACAAATGTCTCGAATGAATTTTTTTCTTCAGCTTAAGCCAAAAATCCACTTTCTTCTTTTCATTTTTTTCTTACCCAATTATTACAAAATAAAATAAAGTTGCCAATACTTCAACTATTAAATTTTGACTCAAAAGGCTTGATTGAGACCTAGCAGTAATCTATCTATTGTCCTTATATACACAAAATCTATAATAACAAACCATAAGCAGCCACTCAGCGCTTTTCAATTTGTCAGAGGTTGTGTTTGTAGCTTTTAAGCAGTCCTTGGAATAAATGAGCTGTTGGCAAGAGTTTATAAACAGACATTCACAGATACTACAATAGTGAATGTTATTGTTCCCTGAAGATTTCCACTAAGGTTTGTTACTGGTGCATTAACCACGGCTACCTGTCATATCTGTCATTTTTCTTAGCTATTGTCTGTGGTTTTTATCCCAGAAGTTGGGGTCATGTAATATGAACAAAGTAAGAAAAAATAAGTGGTGACAACTACTCACATCTGATTTTTCAAAGACGGGAATCTGATCATTTATATCAATCACATTGACTTGCACAAAACAGAGGGTCTTGAAATCTGCAAAACAAAGGGATATCACAAAAATTTTCACTGTAAATCATGCATTAAAATCGAAACTCTGTAAGGAAATACTGGCAAGTGAAATGAGAGCCACAGCCACAGTGTCACAGTTGACCTGTAATTTGCATAGATGGGGGTTTCTCTGCCCCCTGCCTACACCAACAAACAGGTGATCAAGGGAAAGGTGGGAGCTGAAGAAAGACCTCAGAGAAGTTTTCTCATCCTAGGATGGGAAAAGCCCCATCCTAGGGAATGCTTATTCCTGAAGGATGGCTCTGTGTGTGTGTGTGTGTGTGTGTGTGTGTGTGTGTGTGTGTGTGTCTGTGTGTGTGTGTGTGTGTCTGTGTGTGTGTCTGTGTATGTCTGTGTGTGTCTGTGTGTCTGTGTGTGTGTGTCTGTGTGTGTGTCTGTGTATGTCTGTGTGTGTCTGTGTCTGTGTGTGTGTGTCTGTGTGTGTGTGTGTCTGTGTGTGTGTGTATGTGTGTGTCTGTGTATGTCTGTGTGTGTGTGTGTGTGTCTGTGTCTGTGTGTGTGTGTGTGTGTGTGTGTGTGTGAAATGGCCTCCCTTTTCTCACTAGTGAAACTTAGGTAGTCTTCAAAGTTCAGTGTAAAGCTATCCTTCCAGAAACCTGCCCAAAGTATCCTACAGCCATCTCTCCCTCTCTGAATGGATCTGCCCTCTATCAGCTCTGCCTTCTGAGGTGGAGAGGCTCAAGGGCACCTTTGTCTTCCTCTCCAAATAAGAGGGGTAGTAGTACAATTAGCCTACTCAAAGGAAAGCTGTGAGATAGCTCACAGAACCTTAAGGAAATGGCACAAGCCTTGAGGGATGGGTTTGACAATTTGGAGACCTAATCAAAGACAGCAAGCAGGTTGATCCTAGATCCAAGCTAACCATGGAGTATAGGTGGAAAGAGATACCCGGGAAGAGAAACAAAGGACAGGTTCTTTGTTGAGGTTGCCATCATTGGAACCACATAATCCTCTATTGTATAATGGTTAGGACTCTGGGCTCTGGGATCCCACTGTTTGAATGCTAGTTCTACCCCATATCGGAGACATGAGAACTTGAGTGTGGGCTAAACGTTTCTGAGCCTCACTCAGCTTATTCACATATGTGGATAACAACAAAATGGAAGTTCTCATCATAATACAAATTGTTAGCAATCTTATCTACCAGACATTGCCTTTTTTTTTTTTTTCTACCACGAACATTTATTTTTGTTAAAGCAGATTATAAATTCTCATCAGTACAAATATATATATATATATATATATATATATATATGTATGTATGTATGTATGTATATATAACTTACATTTGATTGCAAGGCCAACGTTCAAAAGTAAAAATGAGATGGGATCTCATGTTGTTACCCGAGGTCAAGTGGCTGAGACTGGCAATGGGATGTTCTGTTCACTAGGGGGAGGGGGACATGGCTCACAAAATGAGTAAAACCAGAATCCCCATTCTCACAGAACATGTGGGAACAAAATTTAAAGGGCAAACAATCAAAACCCACATTACAAACCAATACAGTGGCCCTGTGTTTCCTTCTGTGGATATGATTATGTCACTGTCACCTTAGTGTTAAAATAAAGGATTAACATAAGGAAACTGCAACAATATATAAAAGATAACATATTCTCTAGAGCGTATTTAGGTTGATTCCATTAAAATAATGACATTAGAATTTCATGATAGGTTTAAAACCAGGACAATACTGCTCTTTCATTTTCTTTATTTAAAACTACAACCTAGTGACTGTATTGGTCATAAGTATGATTGTTGTTGTGATGTGCTACTTACAATGAATGCTTACAAACAAGCCAGGGATCCCGCCTGCAACTTTCAACCCTTCCTCTTTTTACTTCAATAGGCATCAATGATAAACCAATCTTATGTACAATTTCTTACAACTAACCCTTTTACTTTTGGCAAGATTACTTACAACTCATACAACTTTTTAATATTGAGAACTATTTAAAATATTCTAAATGCATAAAAATAAAGATTTTGGCTTTTTGATATATATTTATAACATTTATTCTGTTACTCAAAATGGAAGCTCACCTTTACCCCCAAAATATAGCTCTGCTGGGCAGTTGCTGCTGTGCACTCCCAGAATTCTGGCAGCACAGCCTGCCTCTTTTCCCAGTCTGAGCCCAACCCACCTGTTCTTTATCTCTAAATCAGGCCAGTACTGAGAGGAGGCAGGTGAATGAAGAGAGATCATTTTGCTTTCTGTTGTTGTGTTTTATATTCCAGTAAGTGTGCTTTGAATATAGATTCCTGTTCAGATACTTCTGCCTCTCTGTTACCAGAGATTTATAAGGGGGTGAGGGAGGCAGGTACAGAGGGCAACATCTCCTGGAGTTCTTTAGCCTAGCTGCAAGATAGTCTTCTCTAGGAATGGTTTTCCCACTTCTTTTAAATCATCTCTCACTGCACTCTGTGCCTAGACTCGCTCCTTGGGACCTTTGGGATTAGTAAAAAAATGTACTGATCAGGGAAACAAAGTCCCCTTTGCTTCTTTGATCTCCACACTCTGCCCTTGCCTAGGTACAGACAAGATACATAAACCACAGAGATTGCCTAAAGTTCGATTTCAAATGTCTTCTGTAAGTCACTGGAGAAAGGGTTGGTAGGGGAGGGATTGGTACGCTGCTTAGACTTGCTTTCTAATGCAGTCTTATCTACCAGACATTGCCTTAAGTGCCTTACCTCATTACCCATTTCATCTTCACAATAACTTCATGACATAGATATGGTTTCCTTTCCTACTGATTTAAAAAATGAGAAAGCCAAAGGATAGAAAAGTTAGGAAATCTGCCCAAGGTCACACAGCTAACTAATTGTGGGGCCAGGATTCAAATCCACATGTTCCTTTAGCCCTCTCTATCCTCTGTCTGCCCTTCAATCTGCTCTGTGATCAGGAGCTGAACTTATCAACAGTATCAGTGGGTGTCTTTGACCTCCTAATAATAGTTGGGTTCTGCCAATGGGAAGCCTGGCAGGAGACTGGAGGAAGGGCAGGAAGAAAGCATCTCTCTTCCCTTTCTACTACCACCGATCTGTCTGTCTCAGGGAAGCCCCTTCAGCCTTCAGGGTTGGAAAGCCCACTCTACCTGCTGGTTTCCCTTAACCCTCCCCATGACCTTTTCCCTTAATCCTCCTTTAAACTGTTCATAGCTACCCCCTTACGAGCAGGCTGTCCATTTCCTGCTAGGCTCCTGACTAATACACCCAGGTAGTCCAACTCTAGACTTTGTGCTCAGTGTACTGAACATGGTGCCAGGCATGGTCTAATACTCTAATTATAAACAAGCAGATGCTGATTAAAGTTACAGCTGGTCCCCAGAACATTTGCATACAAGAATGAGGTGGTTCCAGTCCCAGAACTCACTGGTCTTCAAAAACTTTGGGCCGTAGTGGATCTCCTGCTTGACAGGCCTTTCTTGATTTTTAAGTAAAACTATGCTAATTATCGCCTAGACTCTAATTTTCTGTAGTTGCCCAATTGAATGTTTAATTCCATCAATACACACATAGTTATATATAAATAGATTTATAATCTGGTCCATTCTTTCCATAGATGTACTCATGCACATCAACAATTTGCAATCTGATTTCTACTTTGCACTCTTATAACTTCAAACTACTTCAGGTCCCAATGTCTTTACAGTTTTGTAACTAGTCATATGTCAAATTTAGCTCAATAGCTACCACCTTCCAGAAAGCCTGCTCTTTCTTTCTACTGGGTTGCTCATTTCCTTTCTGAGCTCCCTTGCATGGTGCTCCTTGCAATTTCTTGATTCCCATGTCCATCTCCTCTACCAGAACAAGCACTCCTTAGGGCAGACACTGGGTCTTATTCATCTGTGCATCCCCAATACCTTGCCTGGTTCTTCAAACAAGGCAGAAGCTCATTAACTGTTCACTAAAAGAATGCACAGCTAATAATGTGAAACTGTAACTTTACCATGAGAGGGTTATTTGTTATACTGACTTCCATTGTGTCTGTTAAATATTAGACCCTCAAAATTTGTCCAATTACCAGGTTTCAAACATTCTACATTAGAGACCTGATAAACTCCATTTCGCCCTGTACATCACCATTCCATGGGAAGCAGAGGAATATGAAAGACAGGTAAAATAATGTACTTCTCTTTTCCATGCTGGTGTAACCTATGCCCCTAGCATAACAATTACTGAATTGTTTGGTAATCTAAGATTTAGTGCTAATAACTCAAAGAATGATTCTTAACTTTCTAAGAATCTGAGTGCCCCAGAAATAACTCTCTCTCTCTCTCTCTGAATGTCTTATTGTGTCTCTGTGCACATTTGTCTAGGAATGTGTGCATTTGTTTGCGAATTCATCAGACTGTCAATGGGTCCTGTGATCCACAGAGATTAAGAACCACCTGTTTAGAAAGTGTACAAGGGATAGAGAAGACTGTTTCCTGATTTGTCAGATGGTCAAATAGGAACTGACTGGAGAAGGTAGAACTTCCCCAATGATGCATTACTCTTCCACTTTCATACAGAGGAACCCTTTGAGTCCCAAAATCAAGAATTGGGAAATATAATTAATTTTCCTATTTGTGATCCTGGTGTCCACAAGAATGTGCCTGACAGACTTTTGACAGCCAGGATATTAATTAATGAAGGCCCCACTGCTGTGCTTTGAAATCCAACACTGTATTTGCACCAATGTTTCATTTCCCATGGGCAGCCCCCAGCCAGCTACAAAGCAAAGCAGTGATGCTAAGCCAGGACCATTCTCAGAGATAATATACTTTGGAATCCTAGACAGACACATGGAACTTTCCTGACTGTGCAGTGGACTGGGACATTCCCACAGCCTCCTTCCCCCTCTCTCCTTCACTCAGGGTTGGTCTGTATTGCACTTTGATGATCATCTAGTCTCCCTTCTATTTGTTCTCAAAGGAGTCCCCTCTTGGCATCTGCTACTCAGGGGTCTCAGACTAGCACAACAATGTTGCCTGAGCTGCAACTCACGTCTTTATGAAAACATCTGCCTCTGTGTTACATGTATTTCACAAAGGAAGAATTCTTAAACATAAGAATATTTTCTGTAATATATCCAGGCAGTAGAGCTGCTTCACAAATTGTAACTAGAAGAAAAGCAATTATTTGTGCTTATGACAGCAGGCACCATACTGACCTTTGTCGGACACCTGGACTGTTAGGTTGTACTGAGGACTGTCTTGCTTCTTCAAGGACTGTCTAGCTAACTGGAATTTTCCCTCATATTCTTCAACCAGAAAGAGTCCATCTATGGGAATCTGGGGGGCTTGCACCACAATTTTGTACTTTAAAATACTGTTGACAGTGTTTTTTTCATCCAGGTCATGGGCGGTAAAGATTCCAATACTGCTACCTGTGGAGAAGGAAAAGGAAATCATTCATACAGCTCCATGTCATATATTTTAAAATGGTTCTAGGCGATGATCAAAATCCATTACACGCATGTATGAAAGTGTCATGATGACCCCCTCACTTTGTACAATTTAATATATGCCTATTTAAAAAAGAAAAAAAAGAAGGTTTCACTGGATAAGTAGGTTCCTAAGAAGCACTGTGAATAATGTTGGGTAGCAAGGACTTTCAGATTTATTTTGGTTCCTTACCCTTCTCATGGTGTAATTTGCTGAATACGATAGTGTATTAGTTAGCCAAGGCTGCCATTCCATGGTACCATGCACTAGGTGGCTTGGACAACAGAAATTTATGTTGTCACACCTCTAGAGACAGGACGTCTGAGATCAAGGCATTGACAAGGCTAGTTTCTCCTGAGGCTCCTCTCTGGCTTGCGAATGAATAGCTGTGCCTATTCATATCATCTTCCCCTGACCTCTCTGTGCCCAAATTTCCTCTTAACAGAAAATTCCAGTCATACTGGATTAGAGCTACTATAAGGACCACATTTTACCTCAATTCTCCCTTTAAAGATCCTATCTCCAAAGAGCCATATTCTGAAGTACTAGTGGTTAGAACTCACTATATGAATGGGAAGACGGGCACAATTCAGCCCACACAGGGGTTAGGACTTAAACAAATGAATTTGGAGAGGACACAATTCAGCACACAGTGCCCCCCAATTCATATTCTTGTCCACCCAAATTCTCATTATGGGACCTTCTTTGGAAATAGGGTTATTACAGATGCAATTAGATAAGGAAATTGAGTTGAAACCATCCTGGATAGTTTAGGGTAACCCCTAAATCATTTATCAGATGAGAACACTGAGACACACACAGAGGAAGAGATGGCATTAAGGGAGAGCTCAGAAATCAGAGCTATGTGGCCACCAACAGCCAACAGAAGACAGAAGAGGCAAAGGATTCTCCACTAGAGACTCTAGTACCTTGATTTTAGTCTCCCAGCCTCCAGAACTAAGAGAGTAACTTTCTGTTGTTTTAAGTCATGAGTTTGTGGTGATTCATTTCATCAGCCCTAGGACACTTATGCACTTGGCAAACGGAGGAACTAAACCAGGAGAAACCAACTTTAAAGCAACTGTAGGGAACAACCTTCAGAGAACAACTCCACCCCAAAGATAGCATAAGGCAAAGATCAGGCACACACCCTTCCCACCAGACTGCAGGCTACAGCCCAAGTATTTTTTTTCCTGTGACTGTTTTAGTCCAAGGAGCTCCGGAAGTCAGTGGCTATGACTGTGCTCCACCACTTCTGGGTCAATGCCGAGAGATTCCGGGTCATCTGGTTCCATGAAGTAGGAACTGTGGGTTTCTTTACATGTGGTAAAAATCCCACCTCTTCCCCATCCTTTTTTTTTGGGGAGGGAGGTGGTGAGACAGGGTCTCACTTTGTGGCTGGACTGGCCTTGAACTCACTATCCTCCTGTCTCTGCCTCCCCAGTGCTAGGATTACAGATATACACCACTCGGTTTCAACCCATTTTTTGAGTTAGGTTATATTCCTCTCATAGCAGTTTGCATGCATTGACTTATTTGAAAATGTAGAGGAGTCTTGGTTTGGGGAGCTGGGGAAGGGAAGTATCTACACTATGTCTACAGTGGAACTGGACACATGCGGGAGTGTCTCATGGGCAGTGTTGAAGGCCATGTAAGCAACCCAACAGAAGAGAATCTGTACCTAGTGTAGCAGCTGCTGTTTATTTCTGAATCTATCACAAATCAGTAACTTTTGTGGGGTATACACGTCTTGCAAGAAAAGTGTCTGTGTGATGGGAAGAAAGTGTGCCCTGCCTCATTTTGTGATCCTTTGTCTGAGCAACCCTGCTTTGGGTGTTTCCTCAGCAAGTGAGCATAACACTGAGGTCATGGTTCTCCCACTCCACAGGAAACTTCCACAAGTCAAAGGCACCATGAGGACTGTCATCATTAGGGAACACTCCTCCATGGGGGCAGGAGGACTCTGTGCATGTGCCAGAGTGCAAGGAGCACCATGTCTCTGAGTGACTGAAGACAGGACAGGTGGCAGCCCTGGCTGATTCAGGGGCACACACAGCATCACTTGACAGTATCCAAGAATACTTTATGGAGGTAGGGGCTTCATGACAGTCTTCATGATATTGCGGGGGGAGGAAGGATAGAGAAACAAGAGAAAACTAAAAGAATAAATACAAATGGACTTAACTTCATCTGAATTATTACCAGCTTCCTAGAGAGGGAGACTCAGGGTCAAATTCAATTTCCAATGTGTTTTTTACTCATTTTGGGGGATTTGACTTTGTATATAAATGTTTAAGTTATTTAGGAAGAGCTTTTGATTTCATTAGGGGTCAAATAAGATGACTTAGGGAAACTGTTGCAAATGATACCAGTATGTAGTTGAGGTAGATCATATTAATAATATTGGTGGTGGAGATGGCAGCCATACAAAGTCCAATTCAAGAACACTACCCAGTGTTTGATCCAAAAAGTTGCACTTATGTGACTCTCATGGTACATTCAAATCTATGCTATGCCTGAGATGAACAAGTGACCGCACAGACTAGGTTCACCTGCCCATCTTTTACCCGACAGAAGAAAGGGATCACAGAGTTCACAGGGAAAACAAATGCACATTGATGAACAGCTCAATTCTTACCCAGTACTTCATTCTCCTGGACCTCAAATACAGTCACTGCAGATGGGCATGTCGGTGGGTTATCATTAATGTCTTTAACCTTCACATGAATGTCGAGTGGCTTTGAAAGTAGTTTTCCATACTCATCCTTTGCAACTGCATAAAAAACATACTACAACAGGAAGGTCAGAGTCAAGACTCTTTTACTGTCCCTCTTAAAACAGAAAAATAGCAGTTTTGTTTCTATTTCCTCTTCCCTCCTTATTTCTGGTTTTTGTTGTTGTTGTTTTGGGGGGGTGGTCATACTGGGGTTTGAACTCCTGGCTTCACGCCTGCTAGGCAGGTGCTCTACCACTTGAGCCACTCTGCCAGCCCTTTTATTTTCAATTAGTATTGGAAAATGAGAAAAAATTAAATGAGTCATGAAGTTATAAAATTGTCATGGTTGAGAGTCAATAATACATCAAGGTTGGGAATGCAGATTTTTTTTAAGTAAAATCAATTTTGTTTTCAATTGTAAGCAGACATAGGACTTTGTCTTGTCACTTGCGAACCTCTCCCCATTTTACTCACTGAATCCTTTTCTTCTCGGTCCAAGGGCTGGGTCACATAAATATTTCCTTCCTGGTCAATTGAGAATGGGAATCTTGGCAGCTTCTCCTTATCAAGTAACGAGTAATGTGCACCTGGATCATTCCATTGCACCTGCAGAGCCAAAGGTGACCAGTGAAAAGAGACAGTGCAGACCCAGAGAAACAGAAAGGAAATGAATACCCTTCTGGTCCTTAGTTTGAAATTTCTGACAACTTTGTATGTCAGTAGTTTCTTACAACAACGGAATTGCATTTTTTTCATTTTCAACCTAAAACATGACTTTAAAAAAAAAAAAACTTTTTTGTTACTTAAAAAAAAACAGCAAAACAGGGAAACTTTCTTCTCTAAAGCAATTCTTTGTAAAGAGGTAGTGGCTTGTTTTCCTTTGGAAGTCTGACTGTTAAGGCTTCAAATTTATAAAACATCAATTTAAGAAGCAAAGTGTACTTGACAGCTGGCATTCTCTAAGAACCAAGTCATGGTGTATGATGAGCTCCTAAAACTTAGGGGACACTTTAGACCCTTCTCCATGCAATTAGTTAAGTAAGACAAATGATGTATACATAAGGTACATTCTTCCCGAAAAATTAACTGCCAACTCCTAGAGTTGTTTTGCAAACAATCTGACAAAAGTAAATAAACAAACTTCATAGTAAGACCAATCTACTTGCTACTGGCTTCTCTGATAATCTGTTACTAACACCAATAATCACATTTATTGAGTTACCACATGCCTGCACAATTCTAAACACTTTTATGTATTATCTCATTTCATCTTCAAAGAGTCCTATGAAATAGAGACGACAGCTATCCCTCCTTTCTTGATGAAGAAACTAGGGCACAAAAAAATTAGGTGACTTGCCCAAGGTCCAAGAGCTAGTTGAAATTTCCACATGAAATTATTCTCTCAGACTAGTTTGGAGAGTTATCAAGGAACTTTGTCCCTTGCTAGTTATCTAAGCACCACCCACTGTGCATGCCAGAGAGTGCATTCCTGGACCTAAAGCAAGCATCCCCCATGTGCTAAAAATTCAGCCTGCATTCCTTTGCCTTGAGCCATACTCCTATTCTTTGTGGGTTTCAGAACAGTCGCGTACTTTCTCCAGGCCTGGAATTTGGGTGTGGCACCCCAGAATTAATTTTCTTTGTTAGCTCAAGAGCAACTGAGCATATTGGGTTCTTTTTTGCATTTATGATTCTCATTTTTGACGATGTTGGTCCAGGCCCCAAATCTGAAATTCTCACAATAATGAATATGGGCATGCTTGCTTATCTTGCAAGGCAAAATTCCTCTTGTGTTTTTATTTCCTAAAGGTGACATCAATTAGTTCAACATTCAATAAATGTAAGTCCCTTTCAGTTGACCATAGATATGATGACATGGGCCATTCCTTAACAATATAATCATTTTTTTTTAATATTAGCAGAAATACAGACTGGTACTTCTTTATAATGTTAACATCTTTCATCCATTTTCACAGCTACTACCTCAGTGAGTCTTCATAATATGCCTAAGAGATTTTATTATCCCCATTTCACTGATGAGAAATAGGGGCTCAGCATAGTGACATACTTGTTTATGATTCATCATAAATTAATGGCTCAAAAACATGGTTTCAGTCATCTGCTTCCAAATTCAGGGCTCTTCCACCAACCTTAATGCCAAGGAATCTCCTGGGATTCCAGAAAAGATCAAATGTTAGTAGGGTCCGGACTGGATTTCCTGAAGCTAAGTTGAGGGGCCATCAGGGTGAGTGTGTCCACTATGGAAGTAAGAGAAGGACCACTGAATGCAGGGAGAGGCACATACAGTAGATAGAGCACAGGATTTCCAAGGAGCAAGATTACCTTATGACTCTTACTCTAGACCAGGCCTGTCTCTGCTCTCAGCCTCTGATCGAATGAGTCTATTTGGACAAGACTTTTCCCACCAGATCAAAAGGCAGATCTTTAAAAGTATTTGCCACCCCAAATTTAAACCACGTACATGTACATTATGGGTGTGCCAGATACAACCCACTCTAAGACAGCCATATCCCACACTGCTAACCAGGAACAACAACCCTGACAACTACTTTTAAAGTGAGGGTGAGTGAAGTTCTCTCTGAAAGTTTAATTATATGTCTGAATCCAAATTTTCTGCCCATGATGCTAATCTCCAAAGACATGGGGCCAAAGACTGTTTAATTTGCTTTATAAGTACGTGATATAAAGATGTGTAGGTGAAGACTCTGAGGTAGGTCTACACAACAAGCATATATATTTAGGAGGCTCTAGGTGTCACTTGGCCACTACCTTAGTGATTTTGATGGGGTGAGGATCAGTGGAGTTTTCGATAACCTCCACAGCTTCTGGTGCTTTCCAGATATTCTCCTTCACCGTAATATCCACAGATGTGGTGTCACTGAAGGAATTCTCATTCTGACCTCTCATGTCCTTTACTGAGACTACCAGATTGTAGTAAGAATTCTTAGCTGGATCCAATTCTTGAGATCCTGTGGTAAACAAGGGAGAAAAGGAAATCCTGTGAAGGTGACAGACCTAAGATCCTTTCTCTGACTCAGGCCTATGAGGGCATCTCTTGACTTACCTTGGGGGGTGAGCGATATCCCTCCTGTTCTGTTGTTGATCTGAAAGTACATGACATCACCAATTTTGGGAAGCTGAATAACAATCTGATAAAAAAGTTGGCCATTGGGAGTGGTTGGATCATCCAGGTCTGTAGCATTAACATACATGAAGGGCTTTCCTGTTTAATAAAACATACCCAGAAAAAAAAAAGAAGTCATTGAAATCCTAACCAAACATAGCCACTTCTACCTTCTAAGAAGCACAATCAAAAGGGAGAAAGTGCCATGATTTGTATCAGTGGGAAAATGAACCTTTATTCTACTCCTTCCCTTAGGATTTCTCCCTCTTTTTTTTTTTTTAGCATTTCCTCTCAAATTCATTATACTGAAAAAGTGTGCATTGATTATGAATCTATTCCTTGCAAACATTTCCACTCATTTCTTTTCTTAAATTTTTTATTATCATGTTACTGTTATATTGGAGGTATACTGCGACATTTACAAAAGTTCTTATAACCTATCATAGTTAAATTCACCCCCTCCAATGTTCTCCTTCCCTTAGGGTTTCTCAAAGTGTAATCTAGGGGGACCTCTGAGGGTCACTGAATCTGTTTCAAGGGGTTTATGAAGTTAGAAATCACTCATGTGTAAAGAACTATTCAAAGGACAAGATAATTTAATGGATTTTCTTAGAAAGGAATACAAACATGACAGGGCTTCAGAATCCACATTGCAACTAATCTTTAAGAAACCATCACTTTTCAGGTTATGGTAACATATCAAAGAATGTCCACAGTTATCTGAAAATGCTGTTAAAACATTCCTCTCCCAACTATATACCATGTGAAGCTAATTTTAGTTCATGTACTACTTCAGGAAAGAATAGCATTCAGCAACAAAATGAATATAGAATCACATGTGATAACCCAATGTTTTTCTATTAATCCAGACATTAAACAAATTTTGTAAAGATTAAAACAATGCTACTACTCTCACTAAATGTTTTTGTCCTAAAAATTCAATTTTCATTAAAATGTATACATGCAAAACTGTATTCTTTTAAATGATTTAATACTTTTTTTTTTAATTTCAAATACAGTAATATGGATACATATAACCAGTGAGTTCTGGAGTCAGCTTGTGACAACCAGTTGTGAAATTTCAGAAATTTTGTGAGTCAATTATTTACACTATTGGTAGCTTGAACTTGTTATTATCATAGGCCACAATGTGTATTTCTACTATTGGAATTTGCAAATGCCACACATCAGGGCTTTCCAACCCTCCTTCCCCAGGAAAACAACTGTTAAACATTGACTGGAATACTACTGGATATAATGCATATATCCAAAATTTTGTTGAGGTCCTCAAAAAACTTTAAGACAATGTGAGAATCCTGAGACCACAAAGTTTAAGAATCATATCTCTAGAAGATTTTGTTGGTAAAGAGAACAAAGGTAAGTCCTTGAGGACTCTTACACAGCAAAGCCTCAGAGGATGTCTTTGGTAGCAACCTCAAGGTCAAAGGTTGGGGACGGTGGAGTTCCTCTACATAATAAAGTGGATGGGGTTTTACTTCTTGAATTATTAGTTGTAGGCACTGAAGACAGAGAAAAGGATGAGGCTGAGTAACATGAAAGATTAATCAACTGTGAGTTCATGGAAATGGCTGAGAGTCTTTCTGAGAACTTGGAAGTCTAATATTCATTTTTTTTTGTGCACTGTTATGATGTGATGCTTTTTCAGAGGTACCTGGTGCTCATACTATGCCTTGAAGAAAGTATTTTGTGGAAATGAAGGTTAGAAGGTCAATGCAGTATATAGAAAAGATAGCTTCCTCTGAGAGATGTACGAGAAAATAAGCAGGGAACCAGCGGTGGTTGTGACAACATAGGTTCCCGAAAGGGTTTGGGAGGTGAGCTCACCTTTCCAGACTGTTCTAGGGTGTCCTTGAACTCTAAGGTGGTTTAAAGTTAACTACAGAGTAGTGTTTCCATCTGACCATCACCTCCACAGTATACTTTGCAGTCTCTAAAGACATTTTATTGCCATAACTTGGAGCATAGGGTATTACTGGTTTCTAGTGGCTAGAGGTCAGAGGTGCTGCTAGACATCCTACAAAGCACAGGACAGCCTCTGACCAAAAAAAAAAAATTATCAGGCCCAAAATGTCAATAGTACCAAGGATGAAAGGTCCTGGTCTAGAGCAACAGGAATAACAAAACAGCTCCCAGAAGATCACTGTGAAAATTACACAAGATAAATAAGTGCTAAGTGAGTGCCAGCTACAATTGTTAGCCACACACATCTGCTCTATCCATCTTACACCCTTTCACCAGGCTCCTGCCTGTTACCTGGGCGAGAGTTCTGCCGTACCGAGCCTTCGTACTTTTCTTGGAGAAACATGGGTCGGTTGTCATTGATGTCCTTCACTTCTATGGTGATGGGAACTGGGCCCTCCACCGTTGCTCCTTGAGCATCCAGGGCTGCAAGCTGAGGTGGAGAAAAAGGAAACAACTCTGGTGAGACACTGGAATTTATATCCCATGCCCAGAAGTCACTTAAAGGCAATTAGAACTCAAATAGCCTGGTGACTATAGAAGACAAAGAACTCACAAGAGCCCAAACTGGGATCTGCTAAAGGAGGATCTGATGAGTTCAATCTGGCTGATCATGGTGGTTGCTTTCCAGAAAGAGAAGGTGCTAGACACTGGACATGAGAGTGCTCTAAGTGACTGCAGTCAGTGACATGAGAACACTTTGACCTAGGAGGCTATGGAAGAGTCTTGTGATAGTGGCTCTCAGAGCTGTGATGGTGGGTGGCTTGCTGAGCCCATGGCAGAAGGTGTCAGACAGGAAGCTGTTGGCTTACTCTCATGCCATTCTTTGATATTCATATACTGACCATGAAAACTGTGGGCAAAGAGAGGAAAAGGGTCCTTTCAGTTGGCCTCTCACCATTGGCTACTTCTGCTTTTTCCAAGGCTGGCAGAAACTCCACCCCAGTACTGAGGCTGCCTTCGTGTGGGACTAGAACCCATGCAATGGCTACAGGCAGGTACTAGCGGCACAGCAGAGGAGCACTGGCCTGGTTTTAGCCCCAGTGACTGAACATGGGTAAGGCCATCTGAGAGCCTTGGCAATGTAAATTGGATTACTCTGGTCAAAAAGCCTAAGGAAGAGGGCACCTTTGCCATGTCCCTCCGTAGTTGTCAAAAATGGCCATATGAGGTTCATAAGCTATGCCATTAGCCCATTAATGTTAGGAGAGCTGTAACGGGAGGCAAGGGACAAAGGTGCCAGTGAGACTTCCAGGATTGAGGGGGCTGTAGGTGGAGTCCCATCCCTTTGTCCCAGCTCAGTTCACCTGCAGATTGTGAATGGGTCTTGTTTCTCTGTCCAGGGTGCTGGCGTAATATAGAAGTCCATCTGGTTCTATCATAAATATGCCATCTGTCTCTCCAGTAAGTTCAAACGTCACAGCAGGAGGATTGGCCTTAAACTGGGAAAAAAGCAAAAACAGAGATCAGGCTGCAAGGAAAGGCAATGCTGAAAAATTTGCAGAAAGTCACCAATGTCAGGCTAAGATGTCATTTTTACAATCACTAAATAAGAAATCCTCAGCCCTTTAAAGTGGTATAGTCTACGAGTTTGCTTAAGCATTAATTATGTAACATTCAATAATACATTTTCCTCAAGAAACAATGTATCATATAATTTAATACATTAACAAAGGGCATAAGTGCTTGAAATTGTATTGGAGTTAAAGGATATTTTTCATGGAATGTTTGAAAGCTATGATACTACTAGTATCTGAGAAGTTTATATAAGGGTTACTTCATTGCTAGAATAAAAAGTACCCTTTAAATAGTTTAAAAAATTGTGACAGGCTGGAGGAGTGGCTGGCTCAAGTGGTAGAGTGCCTACCTAGCAAGTATGAGGCCCAGAGTTTAAACCCCAAAACCACCAAAAAAAAAAAAAAGAATTGTGACAAAGATTAAGAGGCATGTTAATATCAAGATATGATTGTAAGTGGCTTCAACTGAATACTATGCTATAATGATAATCTCTTAATTATTTCTTCAGAAGTGAAAAAAATATCAATTGATATGCATAAGATAGCTATAGCATCTTTTAAGACCACAAAATAGAAAATTTACATAAAAATAAGAAGAAATAAAAGCTGCTCAAGAAATAAAAGCCAGACACAGTAACTCATTTCTATAATCCCAGCTACTCAGGAGGATGTGGTTCAAAGCCATCCAGGCAAAATGTCAGCAAGACCTACATCTCAACAAACAAGCCAGGCATGGGCGTGCCATCTGTAATGCCAGCTATGTGAGAGGTATAGGTAGGAGGGCTGTGGTCTGAGGCTGGTCGGGGCAAAAAGTACAAGACCTTATCGGAAAAATAACCTAAAACAAAAGGGCTTGGGATTGTGCCTCAAGTGACAGAGTGCCTGCCTAGAGTAGAGACTCTGAGTTCAAACCCCAGTACCATGAAAAAAAAGTAGCTCAATTTTATTAATTATGTGTTAATTTATTAATATTTTTTAATAATTTTAATAATATATTTTTAATTAAAACATTTAATGACAATGTTAGTAACATGTTATTGATGAAAATATAATTTATATAATCCTTTTGGAAATAACTTGAGGTATAAAATGTTTGTAGTCTTTGATAGTAAACATTACTACACAGAATTTATCTTAAGGGAAAAAAGTTTTAAATAGTAAACTACATGCCTGTAGTATAAGAAGCATAATTTTAATATTGGTAAAAATTGAGAGCTCTTAAATCAAAAAATTAGTGAAATTATTCTGGTATATAAATGACATAATGTTAATCACTAAAAGGTTCATTATGAAGAGACATAGGATACAATGCAAATAAAAGAATATAACAATAAAATGAGGCTATGATCGTAACAGTACCAAAAGCATGCAGGTCAATATGCAAGGAATGGAATTTTTACTTTTTTATTTGGGGAATTTTTTTCAAGCACAAGAAGAGTTGATGTGTTCAGTTACAATCACTATGAGCAAAGAGGTTTTGTGCATGTGTACTTGCTAACATTATGCTGTCAAGACAATAAATAAAAGTGTTGCTGTTTGTGTTTTAAGAAAAAGACCCGGGTGTCAGCAGCACAAAAGTGTTCCTCTCCAACAGCACCGAAAATGTTGGCAAACATTGTATATCAGCTGTTTTAGAACCTTGGGAATTAACCAAATGTGTGTAAAATCCAACTCATGTTTATTAAAAAAAAAAAAAAAGGAATATCAATAAGAGCCAAGTTTTGTGATGTTTTAACTTACCTAATCCCATGGTCCTTTCCTAAAATCTGAAGTAGCCTTGCAAACCAACAGCCTCAAAACCACAGTATCATAGAGGGGACATGCCATCATCTGATTCCTGGCATTTCCCTGGAAACTCCTCCCTCAGGCCTTGCCTTTATTTGATCTGACTCAGAGAAGGCTCACTTCAATTCCCACCCCGCCCCTAATCCCCAGGACATTTACTTAACATTTCAGCTACCTGAGGTAGTGTTAAAAGTCCAAGCAAATAAGAAGCTGACCAAAAAAAAAAAAAAATTAGGAAAAGCTGGCAAATAAGACGTCCACAGGGAACTCTGAAAATCTCAGATATATTATTAGGAATCCAGTTATGAGCAAGGCTGTGAACAGCCCAGAAAGGGCTGAAAAGGCCCTAGTCTCCCCTCACCTCTAGCTGACTTTGAGACTCTACAAGCAAGAAATGAGAGGTAAGGCAGAGCTATAAGCTGTCTACCCGCACGGTTGAAGGCATGCCCCACCTCACACACAGCACTGCTTGGAAAAGTCTAGGAGATTTATTGCTTCAAGGCACCTACGGTAATATCTGCCTTGTCATTAACTAAACACGTAGCTAACTAAGCAAACACATCAGTGGCCACAGATGACAAAGAATACTGACTTTGCACAATCAGTATATGAAAGCCACTAAACAAACAGTAATAACATTTAGTCCTGGAAAAAGGAAGAGATATGATTTCTAGAGTTACCACATTATATTATTTAAAATGTCTAGTTTTCAACAAATTATTATGAGACATACAAGTAAGAAACTAAATCCCATACACCAGGGTAAAGAAAAACAGTCTATAGAAATTGTCCCTAAGGAAGTCCAGTTGTTGGACTTACTAGATAAAGATCTTAAATCATGTGTTTTAAGTAGATTCAAAACTTAAGAAATCATCTCCAAAGAACTAGTGGAACATATTAAAACAATGTTCTATCAAATAGAGAATATCAAAAAAATAGAAATTCCAAACTAGATAGAGCAACTCAATCCTGTAGTCCTAGATACTCAGGAGGCAGAGATCAGGAGGATCATGGTTCATGGCCAAGCCTGGGCAAGAGTTCTGAGATCCCATCTCAAGCAATAAAAAGTTGGGCATGGTGGCACACACTTGTCACCCCAGCTATATGGGAAGCATGGGAAGCAAGGTCCAGACCTGCCCAGGCATAAAGCAAGACCCTATCTCAAAATTACCAAAGCCAAAAGGGCTGGGGGCATGACTCAAGTGGTAGAGTACCTGCCTAGCAAGTGCGAGGCCCTGATTTCAACCTCCATTACAGCAGAAAGAGGAGGAAGAATTCTGGAGTTCACAAGTACATTAACCGAAATGAAAAAAATATATTTAAGGGGACTTGAAAGAAGATTTGAACTAGTAGAAGAATATCTATGAACTTGAAAATAGATTGAGATTATCCACCCTAAAGTACAGATAGAAAAAAATAATAAAAATGAATAGAGCCCCAGAGACAAGTAAACCATCACTGAACAAGCACATGTATAAGAGTTCCAGGAGGAAAAGAAAGTAAAAGGGGAAAGAAGATTACTTGAAGGCAGAATTACCAAAAACTTCTCAAAATCTACATATCCGAGAAGGCCGATGAATTCTAAGTAGATTAAACTCAAAGAGACCTAACCCCGGACACACCATAATCAAACAGTTGAAAGACAAGAGAATGTTGGGAGCAGCAAGAAAGCAACTTAAACTACGTAGACTCTTCCCATACACAGGCTCCTCAACAACACTAACAATTGATTTCTCCCTGAGGACACAAGGCAGTCAAAGGACACATCCCAAGTGCTAAAAGAGAAAGGATGCCAAGTAAGAATTGTACATCTAATAAAACTATCCTTCAAAATGAGAGTGAAATTATATTACTATCAGACAAAACAGACTTCAAGACAAAATTATTACAAACAAAACAATGACATTCTGTAATGATATAGGGTCAATATACCAAGCAACCATAACAATTTTAAACATGTATGTGACTACTGACAGACCCTAAAATACATGAAAGAAAAAATGTCAGAGTTGAAGGAACACAAATAATTGGACAGTATCATTGACAAATTCAAGACTTTGCTTTCCATAATGTATAGAACAAGTAGGTAAGAAACAGAAGACTAGAACAACATTATAGACCAGCTAGAAGTTAACAAGTACCTGTGGAATACTCCATCCAACCAAAGCCATTTATATGGAGTATCCTCCAGGGTAGAGTTTATGTTAGACCATAAACAAGTGTCAGGGAATCCCAAAGGGTTGGAGTCACACAAAGTTTATTCTCATACCCAGTGGAATGAAATTAGAAATCAGTAATAGACTAAAAGAAGGGAAATTCACAAATATGTGGAAATAACCACCAGGCCAAAGAAGAAATCCAAATGGAAATCAGAAAACACTTTGAGTTAAATGGAAATGAAAAAGATTTTTAAAAAACCAAACAGCATAGCAAACATTAAAGAATGCAGAGAAAGTGATACTTAAAAAGAATCTGTAGCTGTTTATATTTAAAAAGAAGAGGGCAAGAAGCACAGCTCATGTGGTAGAGTGCCTGCCTAGCAAACACAAAGCTCTAAAATCAAACCCCAGTACTGACAAAAAAAAAAGAAATTATAAAAAGAAGATGTCAAATAGCCTAATCATCCACTTTTTAGAAAATAGGAAAAGAAGGATAAACTAACCCCACAGCAAGGAGAAAGTAGTTAAAATTAGAATGGAAATTAGTGCAATGAAGACTATGAGAGCAAAGTAGAAAATTAACAAAAGCACAAGTTGATTCTTTGAAAAGTTCAAAAAAATGACAAATTTTCAGCTTTACTGACCAAGAAGAAATGAACATGGTTCAAATAATTAGAATCAGGAATGCAAGAGGCCATATAAATCCAAACTTACAGGGGAAAAAAGCATTTGAGATAATGGTACAAGTAATTGTTTTGGCACAAATTAGACAAGCTAGGTGAAATGGGCAAATCCCTAGACAGAAAAAAAAAAACACTTCTAAAACTCACTCAAGAATAAATGTTTCTAAATGTTAGAACTACAACAAGAAAAGAAGTTTAATTAGCAATCAAAAAAATTCCCCAAGAAAGCCCCAGTACCAGAAGCATTTACTGATGAATTATGACTAACATGCAATGAAGAATTAACACTAAACCACAA